AATTGCATCAAAAATTAATAAGGAAATTTGGATCTTTCTCTGGTGTCATATAGGGCAGGGCAGGTTACAAGTTGTCAAAATGGCGTACCCTGCAGTCCTCTATGCATGAATGAGAAGAGTTTTCACATCGATGCCCACATCCACTCTCAAAAACCATCAACAAGATGTTGATCTTTACATTTGGATAATTGTGTAATTGACATCCTTAAGAAGAAATATATGAAAAATGTTTGTTCAAGTTTTCTTCGTTCCGATATATGTATTATTCGTTCAATAAATAACAAATCATATTACTATGAAAATTCTTTTTATTCCTTTAATAAGAGTTGCTGATATACTGACCAAGGAGAATGATTAATTATTTGTAGATATCGTTATATAGCATGTTATCATATCTTAGTGAACAATGTGCATATAGCTTATTATTTATTTAGGTTCAAACTGCATATAAAAGGTTGAAATATCGGGAAGCTCATCTGCCAATGAATTCTATATTTTAACGGTTTATGATGTTTTATAAATAATTACGTTTCGTACTTATTCAAAGAGAAAACTCTAATACTCGATCCTTCATCAATAAGAAAAATCATAATTCTAAAAGATTCATAAGTAGATATGAATTCATTCAGGCTTTTAATCTTCTTATTGAATTAAGATTAAAACATGAGTTTGATTGATGATCAAGATTTGGGAACATTCTTTCAATAAAATGAATTTTGTTTTAAAACAACATTTTTTTTTGTTGTATGTAGTTCGAATATAACTATTTGTTTTTTTATTGTATTGATTAATTACTAAATTATACTTTATCTTTATTTAATATTCAATTATAAAATTATAATTCTTCAATTAAATTATTGACATTTATTGTTGATTATGAAAGCTTTCTATTGTTCTTGAATATAGTACAAAAAAGAATTTGTCAATCTATGAGTTAAAGTCAACAACTATCTAAAGGTATGATAATGATCATAATGCAATCAAATGTTTTGCTTGCGGATTTATTAATACATCCGAAAAGCATATGTCTTTATATGTCAATAACAAAAGAAGAGATCTTTATTGTTATGTATAAACATCAATTTATCAGATTGATTAGGATATGTTTTTAATTAACGACTCGTATGTTGTTGTTATTCATTATTTTCATATACTAAATGATGTATAATAAATGCCAGAATCAAACAACAATGCTGTAGATGAGATCGAAAGCATAAATATTTAAAAAATCATAGATCATTATTTATTCTAATTGTTAATTTACTGAAATATGTTAAGGTAAAACGGTTTTACATATATTATACAAAGTTCATATCTTGTTCTTTATCAAATACGATATGTCATTATCCATCATTATAATTGCTGTCAATTTTTGATAAGATCAAGTAAACTCCTAATACATATATATCATGTCCTAGAAATCATTTTTATTATTATTCTATCATATCTCTCTATACCATTTCATGATGTTTTTTTTTTCTAACAATATTATAATAAAATTTGATATGTATCAAAGATTTGCTAACTCTGTTTCATCAATTTAATTAGATTAGGACCTAGTGATGAGAAGCAAGTCCTAAAAGAAAAAAAAAAAAGAAAGAAAAAGATGTCGCCTATAAAGATCAAACAACTGTCGTTCTCAACCAGTCTTTACTTCTATCTTTCTCTTCTGGATTATTTCTTGAATAATCTAAAGAAATGAAAAATGACGCGCTTGAATACATACATATTTTGCATATCAACCGAGGACAATCACTTGAATGAATAGCAAGAAGAAAAAAAAGAATTGATTTTTTTTCCTTCATTTTTACGTTAGTTAGTACGCAAAGGAACTTGCGAAGCGGAATTATATGATTCACAAAATGAAATTACGAGCTGGTTAAGAGCTTTTTCTTTAGTTTTTCTTCGTTTCCATCATCGATGGATCAGTCAAAAAAAAAAAAGGAAACGCGCTCGCGCGCTTTTATCAACAACAGCATGAATGAATAAATCACTTTATATTCGTTCATCCATTTTCATTTTTATGTTCAAAGGAGGTAGAAGAAAAAAGGCTAAACAAAGAACAGTAGAATTCTTTATTTTTCTGAATAAATATCTTTTGATTTCATAAATAATAAATAAAGTTTTTTGGTACCAATCAATAATAAAAACAAATGATCAAATACATATATTAATGCATGCATGATAAGGCAATATGATGAAGAGATCAATTTTATATTCATAAAAATGTTAAAGCGTTTTTTTTTATCATCGGATCGATAAAATATTAATATTTTTTTGTATAATCGAATGATAATATCTTTCTTTCGTTCAGTCGTTCTTTAATCATAGGATATCAATGAATTTGACTAGTCTGATACTTTTGAGCAATAAAAAGAAAGCAATGATAGTGACGATGGTTGATCTAATTCAATTTAGTAAATGCGACGGCCCATGTATATATGCTCGTCACTAATCCATTGAGCCGAGATAGTAAATCTCATCTTTTCGCTTAGCAAGCAATGATGATTTTTAATCTTTTCTTGAATGACGAACGAACAAGAAAAAAAAAGGAGAAAAGACCTCGTGTTATTCTTTCAGTTCATCTACTGAATTAGATTTTGACAAAAAAAAAAAAAGAAGACCATGTACGCAATAAGTTCTTAAAGAAAAAAAACACGCACACATAAATTCTTTGCCATCACAGAAGAGAAATAAATCAAGTGAGCGTTTTTATCGTTCATCAACTTAATAAATATAACAGTAAGTCAAGTTAATTAAACAATACATCTTGATTGTCTTATTTAAAGATTGATGCATTCTGTATTCTATTGAATCAACCATTATGTTATGAATTCCTTAGAGATTTTTTAGAATTATTAAATAAAATGTCATATAACTATTCGACATATTATTTTGTTTGAAAGCTCTATAATGAATTGAATCTATTTATACAAAGAAAAAAAACTCATGAAAATAGTAGAGTAATATAAAGAGAAAATAAAATACGACAAACTATATTTAGTCAAATCTAAGATAATAAAAAAAAAAAGCAAATAAAAACTAATAGTTCACATGTCATGTTTTAAACAAGCATCAATATTAGCTACTCGAGAAAAAACAGATGAAAACTCAAAGAAATAATAAGCTTAAAAAGTCTAGGAAACAAAAGACAGGAACTCATTACATATCGTATATGGTTAATCAAAAAAAAAAAGAAAGAAAGAAGCTTTAAAAATGATATACATTTGTAAGACATAAACTTCATTAAAGTCAAGTACTTTTTTTTCTACAAAGAAAAATATATTTTAATTTTGTTTCATACATTATTTATCGTTTATTTGATGAAAATTAAAAAAAAACAATTTTATCTTAGTTCTTCTTTTTTCAGCCTATATATATAGACAGATATAGATTGACAGACGAATCTTCTATTTTTCTAGTAGACAGTTCGCGTTAGATTTTGTCGACAAATTGATTGCAATCGTTGTCAAGAATATTTTCTTTCTTTCTCTTCCATTTGTTACTTGCAGTTGTTAATCGTACGATCTATTCCCGTATTATAGAACACATTTGGACAAAATCAAGTTTCGAAGTAACTCTTCGTCGACAACACCACTTAGCTTTTTCTTCAGCCTATATCATATATAACGATTAATCCTCCTTGACACATACATTAACCGTCGTTGATGAAGATTCTCGGGAATTACGCTAGGCTTCTTTTTTTCTTATTGAACTCTTCATATTGCTTTCTTGCGAGAAATCTTTTTTTAAAGACATTCAATAATAGATAGAGAAAAAGGAAAATATTCATGAGAAATAGAATATACAAGAGTAAATATGATCGATACATTAAATAATGTCATGTAATACAATCCATATAATGTTCCATTCATTATGGATAAACACAAATATTATTATGGTTGAGATTTATGATTAATGTATATGATTACAGTCAGATTATGTGAATCTCTTTCTAGTATAAATATTCTGTTTTACCCATATTCTTCTTTTTTTTTTTTTGCTAATATGATTTTAATTATAATATACATATGTTTTTGACAGATCTTTCGAAAGCTTAGAAGGCAGAAAATTTCATTACTAATTATTTCCTATTTTAACTTTTTCTTTTTTCATCTATAAAATTTTGATGAAAAGTATGTTTAATAGTTCTTACCGTTAATATTTCTCAGAAATAATGTAACAAATATGTTTCATAATAGTCTTGAGAATGAAAAAAACTAGGAAACAACAAGCCATTTTAACTAAATAGATGATGCAGTGATGTGCGATCAAATTAACTAAGAGAGTGAAAGGAAGAGAGCATTAGAAAAAAAGTCATTTCTCTATGCACAATATATAAGTTTCCTCTTTTTTGTATTTTTGCTCTATTTATATGTCATAAGACACTACTATATAGTTTCACATCAAAGATATTTGTTTATATTGGAGATGACATTTTATAGTTTTTTTTAAAAATCATCGACAAAAAATTAATAGTGTGTAAATAATATCATTAGAAAACAAAAATCTGATCAAATAGAACATACATTTCTATACATTTGTATATTGTTTAAATAAAAGAATTAGTGTCAATATTAATTATGTTTCTTTTCTAACGTATTTTTTCCGAAATAGAAATTTTCTTTTTTTATTTACATCCTTGATGTTTTTTCATATTTTCAGTTAATGTAGACAAATATAAATGACGTAAGTAAGACAACAATCATAATTAATAGACTAAGATTTTTATATTTTAATAATATGAAGAAAAATAAAAGCTGTTAAGAGATATATCTTTTCAAACACTATTACATTTTTTAAACAAACTTCATTTGTCTAATGAAGATTAAAAAAAAAACGGAACAAAATATTTAAGGATTTCATATATATATATATATTATTCTTATTTTTTTCATATAGTCGGTGATGATATATCACCGTTATTACTATCATCAAGGTGGCTTTAAAATGGCCATTATCATCAAATTTCTAATCGATTTATTCTTATCGATATCTACATGTCGTCCTTGGTTAATGTAGGAGGCAATAATCATAACAACGCCGCCACTGCGCATGCGTTGTTAATTAATGTTAGTCAAACAAATTTTGTCCGATCATTATATACAAGTACTTATTATCCAAATTGGACTGTATCACATATACCTGGTCCACCAACATCATATTTAATATCAACTAAAAATCATTTAATAAATGATAGATATTATCCATTTTGGTTATTAATTTTAATAGCTATATTTGGTAGTATAACATCAGTATTAACAGTTTTAGGAAATATTCTTGTTATGCTTGCATTTTTTCTTGATCGACAAATTCGACAACCAACAAATTATTTTATACTTTCACTTTCAGTTAGTGATTTTCTAATTGGCCTTTTATCCATGCCTTTACTTACAATATATATCTATTCAAAAGAATGGCCATTAAATGCTATTATATGTGACATATGGCTTTCACTTGATTATACTGTTTGTTTAACTTCAATTTATACTGTATTATTTATAACAATTGATCGATTTTATTCTGTTAAAATGCCAGCTAAATATCGTAAATGGCGTACAAAACGAAAAATAAATATTATGATTACTATTACATGGGCAGGTAAATAAAAAAAAAAAGTATTATTAAATTTCTTGTTTCTGTTTTTAATTCATTATGAATTTTTATTAAAATCTTTAGTACCTACTCTTATTTTTTTTACATCAACTATGCTTTATCCACGTTTAAGAGGAATTTCAAATATGCAAAATGGTGTTTGTAAATATATTAAAATCTAGAAAATTTTTGTTTTTTTTTTTGTTAAATTTTTATTTTTGTTTAAGGTGATGTTCAATGGAATAAAAATCATGTATTTAATTTATGTTTAACAATTGGTTATTTTTGGACAACATTATTTGTTATGATTATTTTATATATTTTTATATATGGTATTAAAATAATTTGTTTTTTTTTTTTTTATTTAAATAATTTTAATGAATTATTTAGGTGTTGCAAGTAATTTAGAAAAAAAATCTCAAGAAAATGCTCGTAAAACATCTTCACTTGTTGGCATGGCTGGTAAAAAATCTATCATAAAGAAAAATTTCTATTTTATTCTTTCAATCTTTTTTTTCTTCTTATTTATTTCTATAGGTAATACAATGACACAAATAGGTGTTGGTATTGGTGTAAAAAAATCTCCGACAAAAATACATATAGATAAACAAAATTATAAAATAGATACAACAATAAATACTGATGATGATGATCAAAGTATTGTTCAACAAAGAACATTAAATAAACAATTAAGTGATAATTCATCTGAACGACAACAAACAAATGATGGTGGTGATGATGATAATTCAAATTCATGTGAATCTCATTCTGATTATGATTTAAATAAAAAAAAAGAAAAACGATTTCAGTTTTTAAATAATAAAAATTTTAATAAAATTCGTCGTGGTATGAGTGTTAATTGGGCTAATAATTCAACAACAGCTATTCATTTAACTTCATCAAAAAATCAAAATTTTCATAGACAATTTAATCAAAAACAATCATCACATGTTAAAACATTTGCAAATTCATTTTATCGTAATCCAATAATTTTAAATACTAAATCATCATCAACAACAACAAAAACTAAATTTAAACAAACAACAATTTCAACACAACCATCAGCTACTCTTACACCTATACCATCAGAACCTGAACTTTCATCATGTCGTATTCATTCTCCACCACAACCACGACCTGAATCATTAGCAACTATGTCAGAAGAAGTATTTCATGAAAAACTAAAAGCACGTCATATACCATTATTATCTACAATTGAAACATCACAACATTCACCATCAATTACTAACGATAATTTATCAAATAATGTTCAATCAATACCATCATTAATTTTAGATAAAAATCCTACAGATGATATTAATCATTCAAGTGAAACAATATTAAATGAAAAACAAGAAGATAATCTTATTGAAATCAATTCAACATCTTCTATTTCTCAATCGCAATTAACTGTTCAACAAATTATAAATAATATTGATGAATCATCTGATGAAAGTTGGCGTTTACTTAATAGTAATAGTAGTCTTGATATACCATATATTGATGAAACTGATTTTGAAGATTTAGGTAAGTTCTATTTAATCTTTCAACATGTAATATATATGTTTTTTAAGTACAAGAAAAAAACCATGAACCTTTTACACTTTCATAAATTTTATAAGGTTTCAAGAAATCTTTAAAATATCTTTAAGAAACACAAAAATCTATCTATTATATGAACATAATCAAAAAAATTTTATGTTTTCTTTTTGAATTTTTGTCTGCAATCAGTTTACTTTAGAAACAAACAGTTTCATTAAAAGAAAATATTCATTTACTAATTATGATGGTTTTTTCATCTCAAACACGAACCCGAACTTTTTTATTTCAACTAATTGACAAAAGAATAAATATTTCAGAAGATTTTACAACCGAAGTCTACATTGTTTCTTACTTGAAAGGAAATGATTGGCAAAAAAACACCATAATTTCCTACTATTCTGGAGTGCCGGAATTTCACTAATAAGATTTTCGCCATTGGCGAAATTACAACTGCTCACTACTCTTTATATTAATATGATCATATGTTTTTACTGCTGTGAATCTGAATATTATAATAATAATTGAAAGTGAAAGAATTTCGAAATTCCATATTCTATTTTATCTCGGGCCCAATGGGCCTTCTACCGAGATTATATTCAATAAAGCATGGAATACTTCTTAAAATGAATTACAATTATAAAAAATATAAAAGAATTTCAATAGAGATCAATTTCAAATCATTTATAGTTGGATGACATTTATTATTTTTCTTTTTTTGACTCTCGAACAATTATTCATAATATTAGACGTTGAAAACATATTTACGAAAATTGTTTTTTTGTTTTTTAATTATTCTTCTTTGAAGGTTACATCTTACATCGTCGTTGTGTTCCATCAAATGATGACAATGAACCAGTCTATGAAGAAACGATAGTTTATAAATCTCCATCTTATATAAAACATAAAGATCGATCGAAATCTTCTTTAACATCTCTTTCTAATACTACTACTATTAATAATAAGAATAATGGTAATAAATTTTATGAAATCTATGGTAATCATGAAGATGCTCATAAAGCAATACTTGAATCACCATTCTTTGAAAGTGTTGAATTGATAACATATCCTTGTACAAATTCAAGTCCGTCCTGTGAAAATATACCAATCCGACATCGTAGTTTACATCATGTACCACGTGAAATTTTACTTAAAACGGGATTACAGTCAGAATCGTTACCAATATCATCAAATGATATTAATAAAACATCATCTATAATTTTCGTTTCTAAAGCCAAAACTCCATTACCTGAAATATCAAACTCGTCAGCATTATCATCTTCAATAAATCGACATGTTGATGTTGAACGTGCATTAATTGATTTCTATCAATGTTCTCAAATAAATGATACTGATGATAATTTAACAAATAGTGAAAGTGATTTATTATCAAATTATAAAGAAATGAATCAAAATACATTATCATTATTATATCTTAATGAACAATATTCATCAGCATTTACTGATGATGAATATAATTATCCATATAATAATAATTTAATGAAAATGATGATATTAAATAAAACAAATCTTGATACAACAAGTGATGAACAAACATTAACAAATAGTATTAGTTTAAATACATATAGTCAAGATTTTTCTGTTGATAAAATTTTTCAACAATTTAGTTTTAATGAACAATTATCAAGAACTAGTTGGCCTAGTTCATCATCATCATCACAAGATAGACAAATACCACAACATTTACTAACAGCTATTGAAAATAAATGTAATACATCATCAGATTCAGATGCAATTACAACAACAACAACAACATTAACAGCAAGTACATTATATGAAGGGTAAGGATTTTTGTTTTTATTTTAAAACAAACAGAAATATTCCGTTTTTTTTTCAACTTATCTTTTTTAGATCACATAAACGAAAAACAAGTGAAGAAATAAAAAATTTTGAACGTTCTCCAATATTAAAAAAACATTATTCTGACACATTTCTACATGAAACTGATTCATTATTATCGAATAATCGTATGGCATCAAAAGTAACATTTGAAAGTTTTGCAACACAAAATTCTATTATATCATCACCAAAAACAAAAGATCAAAGTGTTATGGCACAAATTGATATTAAAGGTCAAATAAATTATTTGACTAATACTCATGAACAAATTGAAAATGGAAATGATATTAAAAGTGCACGACCATCTTTTATTAATGAAGGAACAATGACAGGCATAATTAGTTCTAATTCAGTTAAATCAAGTATTAAAGAACTTATACAAAGTCAAAAATCAATTCATCGAAGAAAATCTAAATCACAAAATCGAGCTAGAAAAGCTTTAAGAACAATTACATTTATTCTTGGTATGTTCAATAATTTCTTAACTATTCGATTGATTAAAAATAAAACTTATGAACAATATTAACATATTAGATTTTGTAAGCTTAAAAGAAGAAAAATCTATCTCACATCTTCTGCCATCGTAACCGACATGATATGCTATTATGGACAGTTATATTAATTAGCATATAAAATTCTTCTTTTCAAATATATCCTAACTAGTCTTAGAAAATCATGCGGATAGATTGTATGTCATCACATAGTACATAAGATATTGACGAGATGACACAATAACTACAAATCTCAAAGTAAAACTTCAATCTTTCGTCTTTCACACTAAATAAAATAGTTATTAGATGTATTGATTGTAAATGACTTACTCAAGAATATATCATAATTTAATAATGTTATGTTTTGGATGCTCTAACTTTACTAGAGATGTACAGGGCGAGCTTTTTTTAGTACCCTGTCTGAGCAAAATTTTCTAATCCTTACCCTACTTCACTCGACGCGTCTCTAAACGTTACAGTCGGCAAGTAATATAGATAGACAAAGCCAAATAAGTATGAATTTTTCATTACACATTTACATCATCTGTGTTTGCGAACAATCTAACCAAAATTTGCTTTTTCAATATTTTTAGGCGCTTTTGTAGTTTGTTGGACTCCATGGTAAATAATCATCTTCGATTACGTCTTTTTTTTTTTCGTACATGATTCTATTTTTTTCATTCAAAGGCACATCTATTCAGCAATTCATTCATTATGCGAATCTTGTAAAAATAATTGGATATTTTCAAACCCGATGTTTCATTGTTTTTATTTTCTTTGCTATCTTAATTCACCAATTAATCCATTTTGCTATGCATTAGCTAATCAACAATTTAAAAAAACATTTACACGAATATTAAAATTAGATTTACGTCGATTATAATAATAAAAGAAGATATAATTCTTTTTTCTTTTCTTTTTTTATCACATGTTAAATTTGTATAACATAATACCTACTTTTTTTCTCCTTTATTTATATGAATTTATCTGCGAAACACAAAAGAAAGAAATTTTTTTTTATTATATAAAGATTATATGGAATATGAACAAAATGATTAAACGTCAGTGAAGAAAAAAGTTAAATATCGCTTAATTAGAAGTTTTGTTATATAGATGGTATTAACTTGAATATACTTGTGATCAGATGTTGAATTATGACGAAGAAGAGTCTCAATCATCTCATGAGTGAAGATCATATAGATAGATCTGAATAGAATCATCTTAAAGATGATGATCATCTAAATATTCTAACAATGATTTATGTTCTTTATTCTATTCAATTTTGGGTAACATATATTTATAAAGGATGTTCGAGAAGTTCTGAAACACTTTACAACTTTGGTAGATTATTGTAGCTATTAAGGATAATAATTACTGTGCCATTGGCAGCAGCTGTTTTTTGAAAGATATTGCAAAATTACATGAATTTAGATGGAACTGATTTGTCCACAAATGTAATACTTTGAGATTCGATGAATCTCCTAGATTAGTAACAACTGTTCTACTTCAACACAATCATAATAGTAAAATCTGAAACATTTTCTTAAATACTATTACAGTAGCAGCATGTTTCCGGCTGCGATCAATATCTCTGATAGGTACTTAATAATGGTTGTACGACGTTTGCGCACACGACACTTCCGCGCAAAATAAGATAGCTTATTTTTCCTGCGTTAAGTCGAAACATCTTCTACATTTTCATTAACTGTTCTATAGGTGTAGATGCAGAATAGGTGTGTTGGACCGTATGGTTACGGGTGCGGAATGTTGACGCACAATGAGAGTTGGACAGCTTGCTAGAAGTTCGAAACTAATGAACCGTTCGTTAAAGTGATCTGATCTGCTCGAACAGTTCAGCTCAGATTACATAAACGGTTCAAAGATCGCTTCCGACCTAAGGTGAACTGTTCAAGTAGTTCAGCTCAAATGGAGACTTGATTTATGAAATCATCTAATGGACTTCGTCTTTTGAAAGAGACATTCCGTATGGAAAACCAGGAAGCTAACACCGATATCTGCAACGCTAGAGGCATCATCTGGATTTGTAGGGGTATTACTCTGGATGCTAGATTCAACACCTGGATGTTGGAGGCATCGTCGGGTTTGCTAGGGCGTAAGCTCAGATGCCACAGGTATCACTTGCATTATTAGCATCATTTTGGATGATGCCAATAGCATTCCAGGTAATGATACTACCATTCTGGTGATCAATCTAGCATTCCAGTTATTGGTGTTAGCATGTTAATTTTCCAAAAAAAAAGCCTTTGAGAACAGCTAAGATCCATGAGGTCGTTTCCTGAATTAGATTTTGATCAGTAGATATGGATGTGGAGCGACGGTATGGATATGAGTTTTGACTTGGATCTGAGTTTCAAGTATGGTTTCTGAAGTGAGTTTGAATGTTGAACTGTGGCTCTAGACATCAGGATCTTTGGTCTCTTGACTCCGTTTCAATCTCACACCGAAACACTGTAGCCACCAGTGTGGAAGTTAAAATAGGGCAAAACATTGGTAACTCCATCCAGCGTACTGAGTGGAAATAGCTGAATCAGTAATAGCTTATTTCAACTCTGATACTGACAGTCACACTAAAAGAACCGTTAATGAAACTTTAGAAGATGTATTAACTTAACACAGAAAAAACAAACTATCTCATTTTGCGCAAAAGTGTTGCGCGTGCTGGTGTCATGCGCGGAAATGTCGATGCGTGGAAGTGCCGTTACGCGCAAGAGTCGTGCGCACAAGTGTTGCACGCGTACGTGTCGTGCGCGCAAATGTCGGCACGCAAGTGTCGGTGCAAATGCCATGGGAACAAATGTCGTGTCATGGTTAATAATAAATAAATGCAAAGTTTTCGGTTGTAACTTTTAATATGTATGAGACACTGTAACAGCACTGTCATGTGAGTTCATCAGACTACAAGGTAACGATCGTCGTATGAAAATTCTTTTTACTGATAAAAGATATGCAAAAATCATTCAAACTAATTTAGCAGACATAAATGGCTAAAGAATAAATTGCTTTACAAAATCTAATTTTTCAAGTTGGTCAATGCCAAAAAAACAAACCAACGGTGTACGTGACTTTTGATGCTATTAAACATGTTTTTATCAGTGGAATCGAACAAAAAAAAAATTGTAATGCGAAAGAAGTCGATCTTTGGCCTAGAGACAACGTTTCTGATACATTAGAAAAAAAAAATTATAAGAGCTAGAATATAATAACGGTGAACAACTGAAAAACATCTATATCTATAACTGATAGACAACATGCCAGCACAATTAAAATTACTAATCGATCATGATAGTTATAAAAAATACGAACATTGATAACTTGATATATGTTTCTCTTTATTTTGAAAATTGACACAACTGACAGATCGAATTAGGATGCATATCTCAAAACATCGTAGCCTATGATCCACTTGTTTTTTTTTTTAAACATACAGATAATTCATACGTAGAAACACAGAAATTATAATAGATGTTGCCCCACCTTTTCATTAATAATGAAAACAATCCAATTGTGTTACAGATTTTTATGTCGTCGAAAATTTATTGAGAGAACTATCGAAATATTCATGACTTTAGTTTTCTGTAAAAATATGAAATAAAAAATTTCAACACAATTATGAGATGATACTCGTTATTGATTGGATTATTTTATAGTTGCAATAATAGTATATTAACATAAGTTGTAATAGTTTCAATAGCTTTATGATTAATACCTATCGAACATTGCCTATAAAAAATGTCGACTGATTTTATCTCTTGTATCTTTGATATATATGTTACACTTTTTGACATATCTAATTCATGTAAACTATTCTATTTAAATTTCGATTCTGCTTTTGTTTGTGTTTCATTTGAATTGTTTTCAAATTACAAGAATATGTGTGTGAATAAATATATACAAAAAAAAAGCGCGAATTAAACTGGAAAATACATATCAGACTAGAAGAACAAAAATAAGTTAATTTGATCATATGTTAAAAAAAAATAGGTCGTTGTAATTTAAACTGTGATAGAGGTTTTTGTTTTGATGATGATGATGATGATGATGATGCTGGAGGTTGCCACCATCCACTTGATAATTGTTGATTATCTTCAAAATAAATAAGAGATTTTTGTTGTTTAAAACGTCTTTGATATTCATGATAATGAAAATCATTTAATGATATGATTTTTATAAATTTATCTTCATAATAACAATCAATTGGTATTAATGTTAAATTATTAATTGATAATAAATTTATTAAATTATCATTATTATCATCCGATGATAAATAATCATATAATGCTATTAAACGTAAATATTCTAATTCATATTTATTTGCCATACAAAATGTTGATATAAATGAAAAATTTATATGATTTATTTGTGGAATATATTTTTGTTTATTTATATAAATAAATGGTATATGTTGTTTTTTATTATTAATTAATGTTAATAAACCACCATTATATGACATAACTTGATTATAATCAATATAATCAATATTTATTGGTGATGAAAGAAATCGTATAAAAAATAAACGTTTTAAACGAAATATTAAATGATCAAGTGTGATTAATGATGAATAATTTGTTAATATGAATTTTAATGATAATGATGATGATTGACGAAATAAATTATTAAATATATGAATATCATCCTGATTTATTGGAATATATAAGGAACGTAAAGAAAAATCTTCTGATGAACTTATTATATGTTCTTTTAAAAGATATTCAACTGGAAGTAGACGATCACATTGTTTTTTTATAAATGGTACTATTTTAGAATCTAATTGAATCCAACCAGTCGGTGACGATTGATCGAATGGAATAGATGATTTGGTAGGAGCAGGAGTAACAGTCGGGGTATTTAATACTAAAATTAATTACAAAATATATATGGTGAGAATATTTTAACAGAATCTTTTTTCTAATTTGAAATGTCTAATAAAGAATTGAAATGTAGAGTTTCTATGATGGAAAGAACAATAGACAACAATGTTTTGTGAATTATCTAAGCAACATAATAAGAGGCGTTCTGAATGGAGAGAAAGGATTCCTAGAGCCCTTCGAGTTGATCCTGTATCCGATGAGCTTTAGTCATGTGAGAAATGTATTGGGTGCGCTGATCACCGAATACGAAAAACCGGAAAAAGTATCTTATATTTTTGGGGCGACTATTCAACTTTGATTAGAAAATTTCATTGAGAGTATCAAAGTATGACTCGAGGAGATCCGAAAATATTGCATCTGACGGGTTCTAGTGTTTCCTAATCTTTAAAAACTGCTCGTTTTTCTATAGCAGAGTTCTAATGGTCCTTTACGCCTCAATGCTCAGAAAGACGCGCAACCACTCAATAAATTCAATGAACTTTAGCAAGAAAATCCTGATCGACCTCCACCCAAGTCTAGCAACCTAGAAATATTCCTGAACATAATTCAGTTACTATCAGAGGAAGTAACTTTATTTCATATTTATATATGGATAAAAGTATTCGTTAGCCACAATACTTCACAAAATTAAAACACGTGTATCTCGAGATAATGAATTTTTCTTAAAGATAAATTTTATATGTTAATTGACTCTACATACCCTGAAAAAATCAACGTGAAAGACCTTTTTTCAGAGGAGTTATCAGTAAAAACCTACCGTTAGTGACGTAAAACAAAAAGAAGATCATCAACTTTCATTTCATGCATTTTACTTTACAAAAAAAAAACTCTGAATTAAGGCAGAATTTTTGAAAACCAAATAGAACATTCTGGAGATCACTCCTGAGACTGCAAAATCAATATTCAAAGTTTTTTCTGAGCGTACCTAAATTTTTCAAAAAAACTGATTTATTTTTCGTTAGCGATGTGACCAAGTACGAATATAAAAATGAAAAAAAAAATGCTCTTATAATCAAATGAGAATTTCAAAACTAGTTCCAAATCCTTCTGTAGAATCTCTTGAGAACTAGACTTCAAGAGGAAGTTTTTTGAAGTCTAATCTTGGTGAAAATTTCATCATAGATGTGGTTCGTGCCGTAGAGTCTATCCGGAGATTTTCGAATTTTTTTTCTTGTATGATTAGAGAGATATTTGCTAATTACTTCTAAATTAATAGTCAACGAAAACAGCCGACATTTTCGCATATGTCTATACTAAAAGAAATTCTTTCAGAAAAATAATTCTTGTAAAGAATCAAAGTCAAATGAAAGACGAGCATATCTCGTTTTACCTGAAACGATCTTATATATAAAGTAATAAGATGAATGAATGAATGATAGAGAATATAATTTTGGAAGATTAGTCCGAAGTTTATTGATGAAAAGATTCAAAAGGTGATTTATTTCTATCTATTAAATAACTCAAAAAAAAGTAATGTTAACATGTAAGTTTAATTGAAAATAGATGATAGATAAAAAATTTTATTGTAATTAATAACAATCAAAAATGATATAAAAATATTCAATATAGCTCTTTAAGGATTTAAAAGACAAAATAAAATGAGATCATTCTTATTGTAAAGACAAGAAAGTAATGTGTGAAATTTAGAAAATTAAAAGTTACATAAAAATCCTTTTGTATTTTCTCGATTAATTAATTCTAATTCACAAATTATAATAATCACTTTAGGAAAGAACTCATCTTGATCTATATCTTCTATCAATAAATCCATTATTAAATTATTCTAAAAATAGTATTAACGTTTTCAATACTATTGTCTTCTGAATAAACATCTGCAAGTTAGTCCCAGTTGGCAAAAATTTAAAATTCATATATTCATACTTATTCTTCCATTCCGATATAGTCCGATAATTGAATATTCACATGACTATAGAATAAAATTCATTAATCTAGATTTTATATTTAGTCAAAAAATTGTTCCGAAAGTGACCTACGAAAAAAAAAGAAAACATTATATATCACCATCATTTTCTTTACTAAATTCGATAATTTCTTTTTTTTATTTTAAAAACAAATATTCTAAGTTTTATTAATAATGTATCATATAATTCAAGTTATCATCTTAGTAACCAAATTTTAGTGTTTAGTGCAAAGTCCAAAATTTTTGAACCCAGTCGAGCCGTACTTTAATATTCTCAATGAAATTTTCTAATCGGAATTGGATAGCCACTTAGAAAAGATAAGGTACCTTTTTGTATTCGGTGACTAAACATTTTTTCAACGATTAGAGTCCGTTCGATCCGGGACCAACTCAATAGGCTCTACTCTACTGATCAGAATCTGTGAAATATCACAACAAGACAATCGAAATTTCAAAAAGGTATAACAATTACATTATTCTATAAGAGATTTCTCAATATTGATTTGATTCACGAAGATCATTCAGCAATACCAAAAAATAAAATTCAAAAAGTTGAACCGACTTGCTACATGAAACTAGACAAAAATGCAGGAAATATTGCTTGACAAGTGAACATTTTTAAGACTCAAGCGCATCGATATTATTGATTTTACAACATATATAATGTATTATACTCAGTAATTATATAATAAAAATATGGATTTACATATTAAATTGTCGGAATATTTAATATTCATGCTTGAAGATCAAAGAAATACCGATAATATCTTCTTTTTTGAATTAATTGAACTTTTCTATTCCCGGGATTGTAAATAGATATAATCGCTGATTTTGATTAATAAATAATCCATTTATTATCATCGAGATTGACGGAAATTTTACTAAGGTCAGTGTATGTTGTTGAATTTTAAACAAGCAAATAATTATTTGATATTTTTTTTTTCTTTGTAAATAAAGCAGTCAAATGATATAATAATTATTACCTTGAAATGTTAATAAATTATTTTTATCTATGTTTACAAGAAAGAAAAAAAGACTCAATAAGACAATTATTTTCTAGGAAGATAATGTTCGTAGTCATAGAATAGATATTAGTTCATAATATTTCAACTTGAAGGATCACACTTTTGAATAGTACATATAAAATATTATTTTATCAAATAAAAAACATTGGTTAAACGATGATGAAGATTTGCAATTTTTTTTTTTGTTAGGTGACTTTTGAAAACAAAATCAAAACTTAAAAAGACGATTTTGTAAATTGCTGTCCTCGTGCTTCTTATGTATATATGAGAATTTTGAGAGCGTCTTTAATATTTTTTGTTCTCTCCAAATTGCTAAGAGGCATTTTATTAGTATAATAAAAAATGAAAAATAGAGAATAGCAATTCTACAGTTTTTATAATTAATGATTAGGAAGAACGACAAGCATTTTGACTCTGATTTTTCCAACTGTAACAAAATAAAAGTGCCTTGAAAGTAGAGTTTATCGGATCTAAATTTTGATCTAAGACAATTACCATCGTAAATCTGATAGAGGAGTCTGTTAGGTTTAATCTGGACTTTGATTTAGCAGACTCTATTGAATGTGTAATTGTGGATTCGAAAAAAATTCAAATTCAACGGACACACTACTGCAGATTATGTTGACTTAAAAATGACATATTATCTTACTTGGTGTTCTTGTTCTTTTTCTTTTAACTCTTTTGTCTATAGTCTGATTGGAATTATTTTCAATAATGTTTTCTTGTAAATTTTTCCACATTTCAATATTTTTTCTAGCTGCATCTAATGTTGTAACGGGTTGTATAATAAATGATTTCATATTATTATTATTATTATTATTATTACCATCTAATGAAATTGAATTAAAACAATCAATTAAATCTTCAAAATCAATAATATAATCAATATTTTCATGTAATTTTATATAATTATTAGAATAATTTAAATGCCAAGAAAATATCTCATGCATTAATTTTACTTCATTTAATGTTATATAAATAGGTGATAAAGAATTTGAAATAACTTCTAATAAACAACGTCGCCATTTATTTTGTATTAATGATGATTTTATATCAAATAATTGTTGTTCAAAATGTCGTTGAACAAAATAACGACGACCTGAGCTATAAATATAAGAAGAAGAAAGAAAATTTTTATTTATTTTTTTTTTTCGAACGAAAAAAAAAGGAAAGCAAAACAATTCACACACCGAAATATTACTGCAATAAAAAAATTTTCATCTAGTTCTTCCCAAATGAAATGTTTTAAACGACTTGATTCATCATCAATCATGACATTTGACATTCTAAAAGCAATACTCAAGTATGATATCAACTGTCACTAATACATAATAGAATATACAAGTTGTTATATAGAGCCAAAAAGAAGAAGAAGAAGAAAAAAACGATATAATCCTGAGTATACTTTGGAAATACAAGCACCACACAACTTAGAAAAACAAAAAGAAAACAAAAAAAAAAAAGTTTTTATTTTGGACGGTTAGTTATAAATGTTGTTTTTGTTGTACATGAATATGTTGCTGTTATTGATGATGATGATGCTGTTTTTGATTGTATATAATCATTATAATGTAATGTTAATTTTTCACTTCTATATCGTGTTACTTGTATATTTTTTCTCATTTCAGATGTTATCGGTGCTTTATAACCACCTTTACGTAATAATGAATCTACTGTTTGAATATGATTCCAACCTTGTTCATGAGCAACTTCAGGTAAATATGTTGCTGAACGTTTTGAACCACGTTCATTAAGAAATTCAATACGTATACCATGAAGACCAATTGTCCAATCGGAATAAGATGAACATGGTTCAAAATGTGTCAAAACTGATACAGCACATGATAATGATGGATATTCATCACGAGATATTGGAGAAAAACGACTATCATTTATTGCTGATGTAATAGCATATTCACGAAGACCTAGAGAAAAAAAATAATAAACAATACAAATATTAAAAGAATCTAATTATATTAAGTTGAAATCTCATAATTCAATTTTTTTTGTTTTGCTTCTGAATATTTTGCTTTTAACGAGTATTTTAATATATTGATGATAATTTTAATAAAACGAACACTCTGATAACATGACTGTTGCCTCCTAGATAGATGTTCTCGTGATATTAGACAGCTGATGATGAAGGAGGAGGATAAGGACGAAGGAAAGGGTAAAGAAGAGGAGAAGATCTATATATATAACTTCAATGTTTTTTTGATTTCTCGTAGTTCTAATTACTAGCTGTAGAAAAAGAAAGGGTTGTGGGAGAAACCGCCTGCGAAACAACTGTTGTGGCTTCGGAGAGTCTAAGAGTATGAATTCTTTTCGACTGTTTTTAATCTCATCTCGAATGATTTACTCCTAAGAAATATAATCTTTCTGAATTCAGATTTTAAAAGTTTTCGAATATCAAGAAAAATTCTTTTGCAAATCACAAAATATAGAATGTTCTGAAAGTCGCCTGTGAAAAAGAAAATCATATATTTTCATTGTGGTTAAACTAAAACAAGTGATGTTTTTTTTTCTGGTAATCGAGGACATTTGCAAGTTTTTATTATAAATTCTCCTAAAAACTAAAACTTTCGAATCCGATACATAAAAAATCTTGTATGTAGAGTTTTTTTGCTGAATTATTTTTCTTATCTAGATGTTTTTCTCTTACTTTATAAATATTTGCATAACACTTTAGGAAAATCTTAAATAATAAGATATATTTCTTTCTTCAAATCAATTCGTTTCTTGTTCATAAAAAATTATGATAAGAAGTCAACTAATAAAACTGACACGATTTTAGAGTATCCTTCAGTTACCAAATTTCAAATTAATCTATCGAATTTTTCAAAAAGTGTTATGCAAATATTTATAAAGTAAGATAAGAGCATCTAGATAAGAGAAGCAATTTTTTTTGCTGTATTGTGTTCGAAAGTTATAATTGTCGAGAGTATTCAAAAACATTAATTTTATGAAAAAAAAGAAATCACTTGATTGAGTTTAACTACACTGAAGATGTGTCATTTTCTTTTTGATAGGTGACTTTTCATACATCCTATATATTTCAATGTTTGATATAAGATTCAAAGGATCTGATAACAATAGTTCTCTGACATTTCACTTATGATATACATATGAGTCAAAAAATCCATTGAAATATTTTTAGAATCTATTTTTGACTTCTTTAAAACATCAAAAATCTGTAAAATTTAAGAAAATATATAAAAGATTTATCTATTTCCTTTGTTTTAACTTACAAGATTCTTTAAATTTTAATCAGTACATTATATAACTATTTTTATTATTCAACTTATCAATAAAGTAAACTTAAGTTATTTCAACTTTGATCTATTGAAAGCAAATCTTTTTCGATGACTTTCAATCTCATAGAAAATTACATGATCTAAAAAGGATGAAAATTTGAACTCCTCACTGGCCATGAATACCTTAACGAGACTCCTTTGCGTTACAGACCGTAACGGACCTTGATATACAATCACAGATTGCACCTAAAGAATGTTTCATTATTAAATATAAACTACTTTTCTGTATTGCATATCTGTAGGACTAAGTAGAATAATGATAAAATGTGTTCGAAAATACAATAAAACAATCTTCCTATGATTAGCCATAATAACTACATCGTGTTTGACATTTTAATTCGTCAAGGATTGTGCTAGTAGCTTGATTAATAGGCCAAAAATATATTGAATTAGATTAAATTTAAGTCAATAATAAAACACAAATCCATTTCCAATTAGTTTTAAAAATTAATTATTATCAACTCTATCTTATAGTTTTTAATTTAATTTAAATAAATTTACCTTGTGCAAGATTCATTGGTGAAAATGTTCCAATACATCCACGTAATTGTTTGTCTGTTCCAATAAGCCATGTAACAAATAATGGATAAGGATCTGCTGGAACTGCAGGTGGATTAAGTAATGATGGAATTAATTGACTATTTGTACTTGATGAAGATGAATGATGTTTACCTAAATGATGTTTACCATTAAATAAATGATTGCCTAAGATTTCAAAGCAATAAAATATCATATCAGCATTAACAATTGTATATTTTTGTTGCGATGATGATGTTAAATGTTCGACAGTACGTTTAAGTTTTTTTTGTTGTTTTGAATCATCATCTGTTGTTGATTCATCATCTTCATCATCATCATCATCATCATCAGATATATCCATTTTATCAAATTT